GTAACATTATAAATGTCTTTACTGTCACTTTTGATCAATTTAATGGATCCTTGATGAATAAAAGTAATTCATTTTTTTAAGTTATATTTACCCCTAACTTTTGAAAGGTAGTTTTACAGTTTCCACAAAAATATTGTGCAGCACGACTGTTTCCAGCATTGATGATAATCAGAGATGTTTCTTGAGCAGCAAATCAGCATATTAGACTGATTTCTGAAGATCATGTGACACTGAAGACTGGAGTAATGATGCTGAAAATACAGCTGCGCATCACAGAAATACATTACAGTTTAACAGATATTCACATAGAAAACAGCTGTTTCACATTGTAATATTTCATGTTTTTTACTGTTTTTTTTTTTATCAAATAAATGCAGGCTCTGTGAGCATAACAGATAAAACGTTAAGTCTTAATAATTCCAAAGTGTTGGCCGGTAGGTAGTGTGACGTCTCATGGCTGTGGTTATGTAGTGATCCGTGGACTGAAGCGGTCAGATACGCGGTGAATGATGTACAGTACACCTGCAGATGAGGCCAGGCTGCTTCCAGAGTGGGTTCATCCTCCTCCGGGTCGAACTCTGCTCCCGTCGGGTTCGATGAAGGCGGCAGACCCCTGAACAGGTTCACTGCAAACTGCAACACAAACACGGGCCATCATGTTCCTGACACTCGCACACTGAACCAGCAGCACCGTCTACAGGTCTCCGTCACACTAATGAGCGCTCCGTGATACAGACCATCTCACACGGACTAAAGCAGGTTTCCCAAACCTCATCAGAGTCACCAGAGACCATCGCTGAGCCTTCGCTTGATCACGAGCAAACACAGAGAAATGCTATAGATGCACTATGGCATTCTGGCCTTTAAAACACTGGATTACAAGTTAAATTCGTTTTGTTTTCCATCAGTGAAGGTTAATGCTTTGCTGCATGGATGAATCTGATCGTTTTACTCTATTTCAAAGAAGTTCAAGCCTGATGAACCTGACAGCACTGCACTGCAAAAACTGATTCTCTTACTTAGCATTTCTGTCTTGTTTTCTAGTGTAAATATCTTAAAACAAGCAAAAATATCTGCCAATGGGGCAAGAAAAATTATCTTTAGGCTTTGAAAATGGCAGATATTTTTGCTTGTTTTAAGCAAAAACTAACAAAATTTAGATTTTTTTTTTTTCTTAATATCTTAAGTCATGTTACTTGTCAAGTAAATGCATCCTGATTGAAGAATGTTTAGATATTTATACTAGAAAACAAGACAGAAATACTAAGAAAATAATTTTTGCAGTGTGACTGTGTTCATGACGTACTCACTGAATAATTAATTTTGAACTAATCATTTAGTCACATTACAAAGGTTGGTCTGCACTCTTTAAATCTTTTATTGAAACTAACGTAGGAGATAAAACAGACAAACGCTTCATCAGTCAGTAAATCATTTAGTGAAAAATCCTCCGTAGTGGATCTGTATGTCCTCTATGCGGTAAACTTGACCTCGTTCTCTCTTCTGACAGCCGTTATCAGTCTCTCTCAATTTTTTCCTTTTATTGAAAGTCACGAAAACACTATCGTGGCGTTTTTCTTTTGCTATCTGAGCAAATGGGAATGCAAAGAATATATTTGTGGTGCTCTTCAAGTTAACCCAACTATGACGACTTCCGCTGCTGAGAAACACACACATGTGAAAGAGGCCCATTGTGTTTCAGATGAACCAGCCTGATAAGGCTTCTTTAATGCTGTAAATAGAAAAGCATGTGAAGTCAGTGTCAATAAAGCACAAGAACGGCCGCGGCCGACTCTAATGTGAAACAGAAGCAGCACTGTCTGGAGCTCGGAGATCAAATGAGCGGCTCCGATGAGAGCGAGGGCCGCCGCGGGCCCCTGAGAGCCGGCCTGACTCACCATGTGCACCACCTCCGGGTAAATGGGCTCCGTGATGACATTGCGATTGTGGTTGATGTACTCCACCATCTCGCTCAGCGCCGCCCGCTTCACCTCCTTCCATTTCAGGTCGCTGAGCGGATCGGACAGAAAGTCGAACAGAACGCAGCACTGACGCAGCTTCTGGATGAAGAGCTTCTCCTGCTCGGCCGGAGCCACATCTGAAAGCACAAGAAGAGCAGAGACCGTCATCAGATGATTAGAAACACTCCAGCTTTATTACTGCACAATCACACACAGTGTTGGGGGGGAACGCATTACAAGTAACACAAGTTACGTAATCAGATTACTTTTTAAAAGTAACTAGTAAAGTAACGCATTACTTTTTAATTGAAGTGCATACCATAATCAGTGTTGGGGGGAATGCATTACAAGTAACGCAAGTTACGTAATCACATTACTTTTTTCAAGTAACTATAACGCATTACTTTTTAATTTAGAAGGAAATATCGGAGTTACTTTTTCTAATAAGTAACATAGTTACTTTGTTTCCATGTGTTGAGTGACAGCTCTGGTGTTGCCAAGTGCAGAGCGTTGTGTGTGAACATGATCTTACTGTAGTTCTAGACTAAATATCAACATGTTTACTCATCTCACTGCACACAAACACATTCAGTGTTCCTCAGAATGATTAAAGAGTCAAATGCAAACTCAGAATATTATACAAAGCTGCAATAATTAAACAGGTTAAAAAAGACAAATATCATTTCATGTATTTAATCCCACTTTTTTTTAACCAATGTCTTTGCTACTGACCTTCGATGATCCAATTCAATCATACTAATAATCAAAAATAACACATTTGTGTTTCATTGTAGTTATTGCTGAATAGTGTTGAACTTTCTTCTCCTGCGTGATATTCTTCATGTGATTAGTTTGAGCGGCGCCCTCTACTGTACAGACGTGAATTTACATTTCCTTCAGCCTGAGGCACATTCATTCCACTTTAGTTGTGAAAGGGCTTTTACATTCCTAAAAGAAGAACTTTTTTATATTAAAAACTAACAAGCAAGCCCTGCCCAGATTTAAAAAGTAACTCCAAAGTAACGCAACGCATTACTTTCCACAAAAAGAAACTAAGTAACGTAATTAGTTACTTTTTTTAGGGAGTAACGCAACATTGTAATGCATTACTTTTAAAAGTAACTTTCCCTGACACTGATCACACAATCACCAGCTCCTGCATCCAACCACAAACAACTAGCACACGTCATCGATCCTTTCCTTTTTGCTGCTACAGCATTTGTCAAGTAGCATCAGTTTTATTTCTATTGCGCTTTATACAATACAGATTGATTCAAAGCAGCTTCACAGGAAGTGTTAATATTGCAAAATTCATCAGTTATGAAACATTCAATTTCAGCACTGAAGTTTTGCGTTGTAGAACAGCACAAGTGTGGAAAATCGAGTCAAGAACAGACATTTATTCAGCATCTGTACATTTTAAAGCATAAACAGCCTCATTTTTTGTGTTCACTTTGCATATTTTTAGTTTAAAAGATTTGTTTCCTTCACAACCCTGAACTGAGCTGGATGATGATTGTCTTTGCTTTACAGCTGAAAACACTGACACTGTTATTGAACTGAATTGAATCGACACTGAACTGAGTGATGACACAACTGTCTGCTGTAGAGCTGCTTTAAATAGCAGAATTGAACTCATTTCAAAATAGATGAACTTTTACTGAACTGGTAATGAAATGAACAAAAACACTACAGAATCTGAGAGCACAGCATGCATACAGCAGAATCTGAATTTGACCCATAACGGAGTTAATAATTGATTCTGTTATTTTCTGTTATATTTTCTGTTATATCTCGAATCTCCCTTTTCTGTCCAAGATACTAGAAAAGGTAGTATCCTCACAATTACATTCCTTCTTAGAGAAAAATGGTGTCTGTGAGGATTTCCAGTCAGGATTTAGACCATATCATAGTACTGAGACTGCTCTCATTAGAGTAACAAATGACCTGCTCTTATCATCTGATCGTGGTTGTATCTCTCTATTAGTGCTATTGGATCTTAGCGCTGCGTTCGACAATATTGACCACAACATTCTTTTGAATAGACTAGAAAACTTTGTTGGCATTAGTGGAAGTGCATTAGCATGGTTCAAATCATACTTATCTGACCGCCATCAATTCGTAGCAGTGAATGAAGGTATCATATCGATCACAAGTGCAGTATGGAGTACCTCAAGGCTCAGTACTAGGGCCGTTACTCTTCACGCTTTACATGTTACCCTTGGGAGATATCATCAGGAAACACGGTGTTAGCTTTCACTGTTATGCTGATGATACTCAGCTCTATATTTCTTCGCGGCCTGGCGAAACATACCAATTTGCAAAACTCCCGGAATGCATAGTTGATACAAAAAACTGGATGACGAGTAATTTCTTACTGCTAAATTCTGAAAAAACAGAGGTGTTAATTATAAGACCAAAAACCTCTGCATGTAATACCCTAGAACACAGTCTAAGAGTGCTTTCACTCCTGTAGATCGATTGCTTTGTTCCGAAACAGGGATTAAAATTATTACAATGTTGCCTTTTATTCCTGGTGCGGTTCGCTTTCACATGGCAAAGTTTCTAAACGGACTAAAATTGTTAATTCAAGTCACGTGCGAGTAAACTGTCCTCTCATTGATCTAAGTTCCACGGTTTATTTTCCGGAATTCCGCTCATAGCTGTCATCCGTCAGGATGGAACGACAACAGCTTCGAGGGCTTATTGTTGGGTTTTTTGTAGCCTTCGTTATATTAATTTATTCATTTATCATTTTGAGCAGGAGTCCAGGATTCGTCTGGAAAACATTGTTAAAATGCACCTGCTACGAAGAGCAATAAAACGGCATTTGTAAAATGAAAAGGCACGCTTTGATTTTGAACGGCAAAGGCGTGCTCACCCACAGACATCGTCTACTGCTTTTCACGGAACTTACGTAATTACCTATTATACATTGTGATATAGCCTGGTTCGTTGGTCCGTTGGATCGGATTGCTTTGTCACTACAACCGAACCGCTCCAGAGTTCGTTTTCAATCGAGCCGAGACCACCTCGTTCAGGCGATCGCGGACCGATTGTTTTGGCGCGGATCCGAGCGCGATTGCCGTGTTCACATATGCCCAAACGAACCAAGCTAAGCGGGGAAACACACCAGGTTCCGAAACAACGAGCCAGGTGTGAAAGCACCCCTTGTCTCCTAGACGGCCACCGGGACAAGAACACAGGAACCAGATGAGTCCTCTGCACAATCTGACTTTGCTGCAGCCTGGAATTGAACTGCTGGTTCGTCTGGCCAGAGGAGAACAGCACACTATTTCCCTGTTTAATACTGTAAAGCTGCTTTGACACAATCTGCATTGTAAAAAGCTCTCTATAAATAACGGTGACTTGACTAATATACACACTCGCGCAGGAGTCGCACAAGCCCCAGTGAAATATTACTGATAAATCCATATGTTTCAATGAAGATTATACTTATGAGCTGAACAAAGGTGCAACACTCACTCTTCAAAGTTCAAGCTTTATTAATAAAACAACTGTTTCAGTTTACAATCTCACACAGTTGTATTTTTCTTTTTTCCTCTCTCTAATCCTATTAGGAAACTACTTCTCAATCAGTACAATTAGTGGAGCGGCACACCTGTTGGTGATTATCTGACTGCACATAACTGTGTGAGATTGTTACTCTTGTTATCTGATGAAGGCGTTGGATGGCCGGAAAGTCATGTTGTTTTATTAATAAAGCTCGAACTTTGAAGAGTGAGTATTGCACCTTTGTTCAGCTCATATGTTTTTGATTTTTGGTTGCACCTCCTCTTCTGTTGGTAGAGCACCTATTTTTACATTTGTTACAAATGAAGATTATACTGACATGAGAATCATTTCTATCAGCTGTTTATAATTTATAATGTCAGTTACGCTTTATAAACACACCTGAAACATTAAACATGTGAGAGCAAACCTTCCTGATCAACACGCAGTTTTGTCATTTAAAATCAGCAGATCGATCAGTAAACAGCTGACAGAGCCGTATTTGTCTCTGCTGCTCTCACACACACTCACACGCGCTCACACACACACACACACTCAAACACGCTCTCACACACTCAAACATGCTCTCACACACACACTCAAACGCTCACACACACACTCAAACACGGTCACACACACTGAAGCACACACACTCAAACACACACACACACTGAAGCGCACACACACTCAAACACACACACTGAAGCACACACACTGAAGCACACACTCACACTCAAACACACACTCACACTGAAGCACACACACACACTCAAACACACTCACACTGAAGCTCACACTCAAACACACTCACACTGAAGCACACACACACACACACTCACACTGAAGCACACACACACACACACACACAAACACACACACACACAC